AAGTTGAACTTTTATTATTGTTATTTGCTAATTCCAGGTTGGATGATAATTGATATTGGTTTTCATGGATTATTGGGATCCAAACATATATTAAAATGGAGAGATTGAGCTCAAGAGAGGGAAGAAGATGATGAATAGTAATGTGTATTGTGTATAGAATTGTCCTCTAGGGTTACAAGTGACTCCAAAAGGAATATAAATAGAGAAATAATGGGTTGGGCCACTAATATGGGCCCGATAGGTCCAACTACATAAAAGACTAATATAATACATACAGATGACATCTGATAAGCGTGTGTGGGCCGCCGTCCGGACCCAATAGTCGTGAGACCCGGGGGTCTGAGTCTATATACTCTATCAGGTTTGATTTCAACAATCCTTTAAAACTTGACGTAGATTATACCTGGATGATATTTTTCTCACTTAAAACATATACTTAGAGCATCTCCAATGCCAAAACATGAACGGTGCATACGTGGCATTAGAGATGATTGATTAAAAAACAACAAATAGAATATCTCTCTCCTTATTTGAATGACTTATATGTTTTTGATAAACTTCTCTACAATGTCAAACACAATGTTTAGATGTAGACATTGTGGTCGATATTGTTGAGAAAAACTTATTAAAAACAAATAAGACCGTGAACGGAAGGAGAGAGAAATGTCATAAATTTAATCTTTTGTTTCTATCTCTCCCATGTCACATGTGCCCCGTGCACATTGTAGCATTGAAGATGTTCTTATCAAGTTGTGCTTCATGTCTTCAAAATTAGAAAGTATGAGAGCCCGTTTGGAGACCACTTTTTTCGGCTTATCAGGCTTATCATCCAGCTTTTTCACCAAACACGTAACTTTTACTTTCGTGTGCTGAATTGTGTAATAAGCAGAAAAAGTAAGGTTGGAGTTACTTTTCTGGCTGTATTGGCTGAAGTTACTGCAGAGGACCATTTTAGCTATTTTTACATGTAATTTTTTCTTTAATTTATTAATAAAATATATTTTTAAAATATTTTTTTCTTGAATCAGCAGAATCAGCCAAAACAGCCACTTCAGCCAGAACTTCATAAATTCCAGCAGAATCAGCCAAAACAGCCGATTTTCGTGCTACCAAACGGGCTCTGAATCGGGTTATGACAAAGACGCCAAGGAACGCAGCTTTATTCAAATGATAGCATTTTAATTATATTTAGTTATTTTGAATCATGTATTTTTATAAATGAACACTTAGACACAATTAATTTTGTTGAACTTTGTAAGTTTTTATTATTTGTGATTTTATTTTTGTTCTTATGCAGGGTTTCATTTTGATAGTTAGAACAAGATCTCTAAATTTATTAGACGGCTCTGCCCTTTCATATGTTAGATAGCCATAGTATATATCTTTAGAATTTCGACTGGTTCTTAGCAGACAATTCCATCTTGTGGTCTAGGAGCTAGAGACGGGTTTGAAAAGCAGTAGGAATTCAAAAGCCATTCTATCCGCAACAGATGTTTCCAATTTTCCTGTGTTGAAAATTGGGTCTGTGTTGCAAAGTCACTGTTTTGTTTCTTTTACCTTTGCAAATCAAGATATATAGGTACAATGGGAACTTCAATTTGATCATACTCCGTGTATGTTATTTACTACATTCGTCCCTTAAAACTTTGCCCAAGTTGATCGGCACGGAGAATAATAAAGTAAAAACTGTGTGGTTGAGATTTGTGCAGAGGAGAGAGAAAATAACAGAAACCACAAAATAATTGATTAAAAAGAAAAGTGTCAAAGTTTTTTAAAACGTCCAAAAAAGAAAGATGACAAAGTTTTAGGGGACGGAGGGAGTAATTAATTACGGACCTCAAGAGACATTGGAGGTCAAATGGCGGCGACACGGAGAAGCAGTTTAAAAGCATCTATCTATGGACAAGCAAGGGGTTGTAATTACTCCAGAGAATTTGGGGTTTAAATGGTTATTGTTAGTAGGGAAAAGTGCAAATAAGCTCTCGAGTTAATCGAAAAGTGCAAATCACCCCTTTTATAGGAGGTCCTGTACGGCCGTCGCCATTTGGGGTGGTTCCCGGTGATATTTTTTGATGATTTTTTAGCATTTTCTTCATTAAGTGTAGTTTACTCATACCAAATTTCAGCTAAAAATTCAATCGGGAAGGCAATCAAATGATTTTCTGAATATACTGCGCTATTTAACTGCGCAGTTATCTTCAAACATTTATTTGAATGTCTTCCCTATTGAATTTTTAGCTGAAATTTGGTAAGGGTAAACTAGACTTAATGAAGAAGATGTTCAAAAAAATCATTAAAAATTCTACCAGGAACCACCCCAAATAGTGACGGCCGAACAGTGTTTCCTATCAAAGGGGTGATTTGCACTTTTTCGGTTAGTTCGAGGGCTTATTTGCCCCTTTTCCCTGGTTAGTATCAATAAGTTTGAGTTATTTACAAAAAAATAATTACAGCTTCCCGCTTTTTGTTTCAAAATGCCTTTTTTAAACAAAAGCAGGTAATTGAGAAGACTAATTTCAAAATTTCATAAGTTAAAAGTTGGGAATTTGGTTTTTAATCCCTTGCAAACACTCCCCAAGTAGTCTATGACACAGAGTCGAATAAGCAATACAATTTTTATTTATTACACAGTTTACACTTACATTTCTTTCTATTTAAGAGTAATATAGATATTTCAGCTTTGTAAAATTTTATAAATAAAATTTAAGTGTAAGATAGTATTCCAAAATATGAGTTATATATTTTTCATTAAATAATACATTACCCTTATCCTGAAATTGCTGCAAATTTTGACATTATTTTGAGATAACTGGTAATAATTTTCAAACACGGTAGTACCCTTATTTTCAAATATCGAATTATTTTTACTCCTATTAATTATATTAGGACGATTCAATCTCTAATAAAGATTTATATACATAATGGATTGTGGTTCATTAATTCATTTGGTGCTTCAGAAAAAATGGCAAGCGATCACAGGGGAGCTAGAGTGGAGGGGGATCATCAAAGATTCAAAGCTATGAATGGCAAAATGTTAATGCTTCGCATCTCTAGGAGATGACTCTTAGATCATTTGGAGTGGTGTAAGAGTCTATTATATCTCAAAAATGAACTCCATCCATATGAAAACAATGTTTTGACTCCTATTTCTCAGCATTCCAGCACCGTCAATAAAATACACTCTACGTATTTTTTTACATATCAATTCAGTAAAACATTAATTAAATTATTATAAGTAATGTTTTACTTTTATTTTTTCTCTGATTAATTATAAAATAAAAAGGACACATTTGATGTGAAAATAAATAAATTTCATTACTTTTTTTAAAGTTTTTTGGTTAATCAAACTTTACTTGAATTAAATTCATTTTTTGTTAACCAAAAAACTTTAAAAAAAATTAATGAAATTTATTTTAGAAAGTTTTTAGAATTACATGTTGAAATTTATTTTAGAAATTCTTCTTGAGCCCAAAAAAACAGGAAATTTGGGGCCCAAAATAAAACTTTTTTGGGGCTCAAGAAAACTTCAACAATTAAAATTTCAGATTTTTTTTCATTTTATATATTACATATTGGTGTCATATGAAAGATCATAAAAATTTATGAATTTTGATATTTTTTTTTGAAAAACTTGGAGAGAAAATAAAAAGTTATATAAGTTTTAAAAAAATTGAGAAATTATGATGCAAGGATGACATTTGCATGACATCACTCCCCTTCCTTTTTTTTAGCCTCCCTCCTTGACACCCTTCAAATATACCCCTTCACCCCCTTCTCCATTTTTACTCCCCCATTTAGCCAATCACAACAACGATTTAGGAGTCCAAAAATTTCATTTTAAACATTTTGGACTCCTAATCTTACACCACTCCAAGTGGTCTTAGAAGACTAGTCTATATAGCTGAAAAGTAAACGTGATCGAGGTGTACCGTTGGAAATTATATATACAAGATTGGTTCAAACTATATTTGGGTGTCAGATTATGGGTATGTTTGGCACAACTAGCTCAAAAGATACTTTTGTGAGCTTTTTAACAATTGTTGGCTTTTAGTAACTGAAAAATATCTTAAAGAGAAAAGGTGGTAGCTTTTTGGTAAAAAGCCGACTATTTGATTTAGTTCAGTTTGATATACAAGCTCTTAGGACTAATTAATACTAAAAGTCGCAGGTTTTTTCAAATGTTACTCCCTGTAGCATCTCAAAAAAGATCTTTTAATTTTTGAAAAACTCTTAAAAATTGTTATGTCAAACATATAAGTAAAAGCTTCTAAAGACTTTTTGAACAGTACAAAAGCTAGAAGGTACAAACTTATGCCTGCAGAACATAGCCTGTATAAAATAATGAACCAATCTTAGGAGGTAGGTAGGGATGGACTAAACCGGGCCGGCCCGACCCAGAACCGGCCCGGCCCGCTACTGTGCGGGCCTGGACCAGACCGGGACCGGTTGGCCGGTTCCGGGCTTTTAGCCCGTTTGGGCGGGTCGGGCGGGCAGAGCTCGGGCCCAGTTTTGGACTTTTGGGCGAACCGACCCGAGCGGTTCAGGTCGAGCTTGGGTCATTTTTTTTTTGTTTTTTCAATTTTTTATTTTCCTAGGGTAGGGCTGGGTGTTTAGGGGAGGTTTGGGGGGTGGGGGTCGGGGGGGGGTCAGGGGATAACAAGAAAGCAAAAAAAAATAGACATTGAACCGGGCCCAGCCCGGCCCGATTAGGCCCGGACCCAATATCAACCCGGGCCGGTTCCGGGCCCAATGATTTGCAAAAATAGCCCGCCCGGGCCTGGCCCGGAACCGGACTGGCCTGGGTCTATCCCTAGAGGTAGGTCAGCATGTTGCCAGCGTCTTTGACAGACGATTAGACGAATAACAAACTTTTGATTTCATAGATGTAATACAACAACATTAAAGCCTTGATCCCAAAAGAGTTTGGGGTTGGCTAACATGAACCAACATATGAAATCAGAGCTACAATTAGAAGATGATGTCATAATACAAGAAAATAAACAGAAGCCCTCAATATATAACAAGTTCACATTCGACAAAGCATCGATTTGTAGCAACATTTGGGGGTGGGTCAATGCAAGAATAATGAGGTTGGTGAAAATAGATAACACTGGGTTTTCAGGTACCTAGTATATAAGTGTTTGTAAAAAATGATGGTAGCTATTGTTTCCTTCCCCTCCCTCTCCTGGCAGGCTGATTCTCTTGCTGGTCCTTTCCACCTACATCTGATATATCCGCTGCAAAAACAAACAGTGAGTGCATCGTGATGTTCCATTCTTTTACGTAGTATTACGCAATAATTTGTAGTGACTAATTTTTTATTAGCACTGCAGTGTATTATTCCGTCAGAAAATAACTACTTCCCAGTTCATACATCATTAGTTATGTTATACACTCTCCAATTGTTATATTACATCAGAAATTAACTATCTCATGTTTCTTAAGTTATACAAAAACAATTATGTAGTACCATTTTGATTAAAAAAAGTGAAAAAGAAATTAACAAAAATACTACCCGCCCCTCCAAATCGAATGAGAAATGTAGAGCTTGGAAGAAACCATGGCTCCTCCAATGTGTTTCGACTTCCCACCTCCCAAACCAAACTAACAACCACTTGCACACTCTCCCCTTCCCGTCTAAAGTCCTCCAATCAAACAAGGGCTAATAATAGATTTAGTACCATCAGGTCCACGAGCCATTAGAGTGAAGAGTATATTATTTAGCTTCTCCATTTTCTTCGCATCCTGAGCTTGGTCGGTCTTGAACTTTATACACTGCCAAGAAGAAATTCAATCATTTTCATTTCATTTTCATTTACCCTAGTGCCGCAAAGGCTCTCACCTATGGTGGGGTAAGGGGGAGTCGGATGTACGCAGTCTTACCCCTGTACTAAAGCACAGAGAGACTGTTTCCGGATGACCCATAGCCAAGAAGAAATTCAATGAGGAAAAAAAACTTAATGAACTATGCAATCGATACTTGAATGTTCAATGACAAACATTTAACTAAGCTTGGATAAATAAATTACAATCATGTATATGAAACAAAAGGATATAATTTAGAACTTGCAAGTTAGAAGTACTTCATTTAAAATAAATTGATGTTGTTAATAAAGCTTTCACTTTTGCTAATTATTAGACTAATTCACGAAGTTTGAATTAGCACCAAAAGAATGTTTTTGAAACGAGATTCAAATTCCAAACAGAAACATAAATGAAGAAGTCAAACAATTTAGAGTATAACAACTTGTCACAAACATGGATACATGATTTGCGACACGTTGATCAGTGATGGCAGTTTTTATGGGATCAGCTTCAAAGAATTCAATATGAACATTTGTTTAACAAAAAGAAACGAGGATAACCCAAAAAAAAAAAGAATAATACTCCCTCCGTCCCACAAAACTTTGCCAACTTTCCCGTCTTAGTCATCTGAAGACTTTGTCATTTCCATGTTAAGTAATAAATATGTGGTTCAAATTATTTTTCACTCCTGTGTACAAGTCTCTACTATACATTTTTTACTTTACTGTTCCACGTGCAAGTCAACTTTGGCCAAATTTTATGGGATTAAGGAGTAAACTTTGGGACCAATAGCAAACAGTAATGAAGAAGGCAAACAAGTTAGATTTATAACAACTTGTTGCAAATATGTAAACATGATTTGCGACAAGTTAACCAGTGACGGTAGTTTCTATGAAATCATTAGCTTTAAAGAATTCAATATGGACATTTGTTTAATAACCCCTCCGGATCTTTTTAAACTTCACACTTTCCTTTTTGGGACGGTCCAAAATAAACTTCACACTTCCTTATTTCCTTATTTGGCAAAGAAATCTACATCAAAACAGTGTTAAACAGTGCTAAATAGTGCCAAACAGTGTCTCAACAGTGCGAAACAGTGTCTCAACAGTGCCAAACAGTGCCAAACAGTGTACTCTGCAGTAAAGTCAAATTTATTGTCTTAATCAATGGGAAGTCAAACTGTGAAGTTTAAAAAGATCCGGAGGGAGTAAAAAGTAAACAAGGATAAAACAAAATAGAATATAATAATTAAGCTGTACAGGTTTACAGGTATCTTTCGTAGTTTTTAATTTATAAGAAATCTTCATGATTTTCAACAAAATGTATACACAAGTCACAAGGAAGATAATTGAAGATGAATGCAACTACTAGTAGCAACAGTACTAACCAGGAAAATAAAAATGAAGGAAAGAAGTGGGATGCTGATAACAAACTATAAAAACATGAAGCATGTTTCTTGCCTTAAAGGGTCACTCATTTTGCCTCAGATAGTCCCACTTAAAAAGGGAGCAGTGGACCAAGTAGACATCCCGCAACTGAATATGTTTTAACTTGCTAGGGGTAGATACGAGAGGTGATCACCCATTGTTCTTGTATTTGTGTTGCGGTTTTAACTGTAAATCTGGAACGCTCCAAGACCAGGTAATTAGGAGTTATATTCCTACCTAGCGCTACACATAGTCTTACATCTAACTAAGCGAATGTTATACACTACAGTAAGTAGGCTCTGGCCTAATGTATTCAATCAACAAGTTTTATCATCACTTATATAACACTCAAAAGAAAATCCCAATGTCTATAACATTTGCAGCATATTTATACATTTTTGCTAAAAACCATGGTATTGCTGTAGTTAATTATTAGCTTTATATGGTCAGAGTTAGTTCTACCGTTCAAGTTAGGGGTGTTAGGCACACAATTAAAAGCTGCATCCACCATTAATACAGACAAGAGAAATCAATCAGCACAAATAGCTGAATGTATACACTACGTATCACATTCATTCTAGATCACCAAATTATGACACACACACTTGACACACTAGGTAAGACACCGAAAAAAGTAAAGAAAGTAACCTCTTTATTGTCAGTCACTTTGAGAACCAATTTACCATCGGAATGCCGGTATTTCATAACATACCGCGTCTGCATCATATTGAAGTATGACGGATTCTTAGTGCATATGCAACACAATGTTTTCAATGAAGAGCGATACAGAGGAAGCAGCTGGTCATTTAAGGAAAAAAGGAATACCTGTTCAGGATCAACACGAAATAGCTGAATAGATCTTTCGGCAAACTCATCCCAAGAAGTAATGTAAACCATATTGCAGATTCGGATCTGCAGGATTGTGCTATCAGTGGATAAGCGATATAAGAAATCCCAAGATTATGTCGCCTACCTCTTAGTTATTATTCATTTTAGCCGAGGCGCGAGGCCATTTTTTCTCTTTATCAGGATTTTTACAAGTTCAGCCACAAAATAAACACATTTGTAATGAGCAATATACGGATTATGAAACAAAGAAAGGACTGCAACTTGCAATAAGAAGAACGAGTTTTGAGCATAAAGTTTAACTAGTTTAATCTAGGTTTACCTGGATGGATGGCTGAGTAGACGGAGTATTTAGTCAGAATACGGAATCCGAGAATACGACGTACGGGTGCGGTAGTGCGGCTAGGCGAAGCCGTGAGGCAGACGGTCGAGGGAGCTGTAAGCGGTGAGTTGGTCACAGCTGTGCAGCTGAATCATCGGGCGCGGGGTTGTCGATCGTCTCCGTGGCTGACCGCGAAAGAGAAACACAACCCGCTGCGTCACTGATGATGTTGGGCCGATTTTTATATGGGCCTCTCTACCCGGCCCGTATGCACGAGTTTTGCATTTTTTTGGATAATTCTATTCACATCCACCTTTTTACTAAATACAGCCACATATTTTTCATAATTCCTATTATATCCTTACTATCTAGGCATGGCAATGGGTCGGGGCGGGGCGTGTATTGCAAGACCCGGACCCGCCCCGTGACTTGGCGGGGCGGGTCCGCCCCGCCCCGTGACTTGGCGGGGCGGGTCCACCCCGCCCCGTGACCTGCACGGGTCCAACTTTGTTGACCCATGACCCGCCCCGCCGTAACCTAATTAGCTAGTATGTATTTTTTGTGGGAAGTTGTTACCAATTGAATCTACATAATGTTTATCTCTAAATAATAATTAAAAATCAATATATTAAATCAAATTCATGATACGCTAATAATTTCAAAAAGTAAGGAAAAATTACTCAAACCTGAATAGTTAATCTTATTAGTTATATTAATAATTGAATATATGTATTAAAATTCTATATATAAAGAAGACATTGATAATCCGTCGTGCATCTCATTATAATATATACTCTGTATTCATATATTATAAGATCAAAGAATTTATGATTTATTGTATATACACATATGTATGTTGAAGTATATTTGTAGTACTATAATTTAAGAAAAAGTATGTATGCTTATATATTCAGCGGGTCGGGGCGGGTCAGGACGGCACGGGTCAATTCTAATACCCGGACCCGCCCCATTGTATAGGCGGGGCGGGGCGGACCAGCACCATTTGCAAGACGGGGCGGGGCGGACCCGCCCCAAATGTCTCGGGCCAGGGCGGGTCATTGCGGGTCGGTTTTTTTTGACATCCCTATTACTATCCAACTATCCAATTTAATACAGGCTTTCGTAGGCTACATCTGCCAAGGGAATCTTGAATAAGAGAAAGATGAACAATTATCTCACGTTACTTGAATTCTTAAGCTTATTATCCAGTGGACAGCGGACGTTGTTGACAAAATTGAAGGATTGAGAAGCTCACTGCAATTTTTATCATCTTCGCCCACCAGAAGACACCGGTCCCTAATCTCAACTAAGACTGGGTCTGAAAAATCGAAAATCGAAAATCGAATCGAATCATACCGAACTGTAGCCAAATAAAACTGAACCGCTAACAAACCGAAACCAAATGTAAAAAACCGAATCGAACCGTAGTTGTTTGGTTCGGTTTTGGTTTTTACCCTTCAAAACCGAATCGAACCGAGCAAACCGAACTAGTTAAAATATACGGAGTAAAATTTATTTGTCCATTGTTAAGCATTAATCCTAACTAATCATAATATCATTAATAGTTTTTGGTTTTCTTGTGCTAGATAAATAATGTTTGTTATGTTTAGTTTAGTTTGTGAATTCATTTACACATTCATTGCACGTAATAATGTAGCTATACTGATAATATGTTTTTACTTGTTATTAGTATTAATTAACTTTTATTTTTATTTAACTTAAAGAATTCGTATTGATGAAACAATGAATATTTATCTCAACTATATCACATATAACGTATATACTCATGAACTTTTTTTAAACTAGTCACAAACAATGTAAATTAACAATATATACTTTTATCTCTCTCGCATACTTATATAATTCATGACATATTTATTCATTTTCATTTTTATTTTATTTGTTGTAGTGTGCTTGCATTCTTTATTTAATATATGTTTGATCCCTCAAAGTATTATATCAATTTTAAATCAAATGATAATTTTTTGGTAAAAAACCGAAAAAACCGAAACCGAATCGAAACAAACCAAATCAATTAAACCGTGGTTCCAAGTTTTGAAGTGTAGAACCGAACCGAAACTGAACCGAACTTTTTACTTTGATTCTATATTTGGTTTTAGTTCAAAACCGAACCGCAGGAACCGAACTCATCCCTAATCTCGACTTATCCGCTTCCGCAACAGCCCATGAATTCTACTTCTTCCCCAAAATTTACTTCTCTTTCCCGGATTTGATTTCTGATTACTTTTTCGGCTTGGCCAAGACACCCGCCAGGAGCTTCAGTATTACTCGTATCTTCTAGCCGGTGTTGCTTACTTTTTTCTGCAAAAAAAGGAGCATAAATATGTGAGTACTAACAAAGAGTGTACTGGATCAAACCTTAGAGCTTCTGCTTGTGATGTGCATAGGGTCAAAAGGTAAAAAATTAAATAAGAAGAGCAGTAGAAGAAAGCATATATGTAAAGGATGATTGGAGCTCACTCTCGATCAACTTGAGTATATATGCTTAAAAATTGCAGAGAGTTTGGTGAGAGTTTTTTTTTAACAAAGAATTTGGTGGGAGTTAACCACCGGAAAAGCTTCCTTAGCTAGCTATGGCAGACAAGAGAAACTACTCCGTAACTATTTGTATTGTTTCCTTCTTTCCGATACACGGATGTCTTCTCTGCGATGCACAGTGGTGATTTACCTACGAGGGAGGCTGTATTAAGTTGGGTATTATTAAGGACATAATAGGAACTATGCAAAATATGAGACTGTATTTAGTAAATGTGTGGCTGTGAATAGAATTTCCCCTTTTTTTGGTTTTCTCAGAATGAGCCTCAATTTTTTGGGAGATTTCTCAAAATATAAGTAAATAAAATTTGAAAATTCAAAATAAAACTACTCCCTCCGTTCCTAAAAATTCTTCTCGGTTTGACTTGGCACGCTTATTAAGAAAGTGGAATAAAGTGGAAATGTATGGTTGTGGTTGGGTAAGAAAAAGATAAAATGAATGTGAGCCACACAAATTGTCCAAAAGGGGAAAGTGGGAAGTATTTTTGGGAACAGCCCAAAAAGGAAAGCGGGAAGTATTTTTGGGAACGGAGGGAGTACTATGTTTTTGTTACCGAAATAAGATTAACATGACAGTATTTACTGTCATCTTTTAAGCGTTACTACCAAATAGTTACAGTAAAATGCATTTAACTACAACATTAATTATAATTAATGAAAGTATTTTTCAATTATGGCAGTACTTTCATATATGACAGTAACAACTCCTATTTCGGGAAGAAAAACATAGTAGTCGTGTTTTAGAATTCCAAAGCTCATTTTACTCCTATTTTGGGTAATTTCCTCAATTTTTTTGACGAAGAACCTAATCATCTCATTACTCACTTAGGTTATTTATTAGCCAGATGTCTTACAATACATTCACAAGGTGAATTGAAAATTCTGTACAATCTGACATAAAAATAGCAACTATGGCTAAAGTGTGAGTCACACAATTCCCTAATGACTTAATGAGTGAGTTCCCTAAAGGTAATTTTTCTGAGTTTTTTCCCGGATTAATGGTAATTAATTAATTAATTACGGAATTAGTGTTGGGTTAAAACTATTTACCAATATACTGCTCGGTTTAACTTTGGTCGGGGAAAGTCGCCAAACCATTTGGCGACTTATGAGTCGCCAAATCGAATGACGACTTATAAGTCGCCAAACCGTTTCGTGAATTTCCCCGATCCAAATACGTAAACATACACCCAAACGTTCTGTTTCAGACCGGCGTCGGTCTGGGCTCAACCGGGGCCGGTCGGGTGCGGTTCGGTGGCGAAAATTTGCATATTTCATCCTAAATCGATCCCGATTATCGCAATTCACCGTATGACATCCGATATGCATGACCAAAGACATCAACACATCATAAACCAATGAAAAAGTATTAATAACACAATATCCATTAGTTTGCAGGTGAAAATACGTTAAAAAGAAGTGTTTCTACAAAATTTGGTATACATTATTTTGTCCAATAATAGAGAGACTACAAGTTTTCATGGTATTCTTGATCCTCTTGGTCATGGTCTTGGTCATCAATCAGCCCTAGATCCGTTGACACCTCCATAGTGCCTACAAAAAATGAAAAGGTATGTTAGTCAGTAATTAATAAATAATTTTAAATCATTATTTTAGAATTCACATTTCTATGAGTTGCGGAATTTAATAATTAAATACTTACGAAGTGGACCCCCACCATCTCCTGAAGATCTTTTCGCACATGTGGCCCTATTATGACCGATTTGTTTACATATTCCGCATCTTAGGGTTCCTCTGCCACCTTCATCCATCTCATTCTTAATACGTGTGGACTTAGGTCTTCCCTTAGCCCGAAGCATGAATAGATCATGCACAATTTTAGGTCCATTGTAAGTCGGCCAATAATCACGGTCAGGAATGGATTTAAAGACTCTTTGATATGTGGCAGTGTATTGGTGAGATGAGAAAAAAGGATCCACAAATGGATGAGAAGAAAAACTACGTTGTTTGCACACGGCTAATACATGAGATCATGGAATCTTATATATTTCCATCTTTTTACAAGTACAAGTACGCCGCCGCATATGGACAGTTTGTTTTCACCCACCCTTTCCCAACGTTCGGCCACCACATCCCGTTTCCACTTGGTATATCCCTCGGCCTATATCAAATGGAGTAACTGTGTGATGTTTGGCCTTCTCTCTATTCTTTTCAATCAAATCCATGATGTGTGGGGAGTAGTCGTTGCCATTTGTCACTCTTCTTTTACTGCTTTCACGCCTATTAACAAAATAAGCATTAACGCGGTAAAAAGAAACCTGGACCAAAGCGGTGATGGGCAAATATCTGGCATTCTTCATCACGTTGTTGAAAACCCCAGCCAGATTAGAAGTGATGGTACCGTATCTGTAACCGTCACCTGCATTTCATCATGGTGTAATGACCACAATTCCAAGGGATTCTCTCTAGAATTTGTCGTGCCGCCACCTGCATTTCCCCTATCTTCTTGAACCCACCATCAAACTTCTTTTTTGATGTTGCCTTGCGGTCCATACAAACCGATTTTTTAGGTGAGTGTCTTTGAAATGAGTGTGCACATTCGTACCAACATGTATTTTTTGAAGCATCTCGAGCAAACATACGCCACGAGAAACAATGACAAAGCTGCTTCTACCACCTTCATGGCGTTTTTGGCCAGCATCCTCATAATAGTTCTGTTAGTCCCAGAATTCTAACAATCATACAATCAT